TGTTACTACCCTGAAGAAGCCTGCGACATGACAGGCGAAACGTCGGCCTATCTGACAACGACGCGGCGCTACCCGGACAGCCTAGAAGTCATGATATTGAAAATCATGCCACCATCAGGAGTGGAACCTAGGATCTCTCGGTCAGAGGTGTCTAGTGTCATCAATTATTGGCCGGAGCCACCTCCCTGGCACTCTCCACCTCGAGATTCAACCTTAGCAGGGTGTCATTGCTTCGCCCTCAGTGCAGCAGCGCTTGCTGCGCCACCTCGTCGCCGGTGTGTGCCGCGGGGGCGGGGACAGGGGCGGGGCGCAGGTGAATGGCGCTGCGTTTGATGATGGGCGTCGGCGCCGCGACGCCAGCGACGCCCGCGACGCCCGACGCGCATCGCCGCGTCCGCTGAGGAGGCGCCAAGGCGGCGGCGGCAGGCAGTTTAGGGGGCGGTGCACACTCGCGGTTCAAAAGCCTTCGCGTTCGAATGAAGGCCAACCTCTGCACGCCAGGAATCTCCTTAACAATCCGTCGAGGATGGATTACGTATGTCTGTGAGTGTCGTGTTTCCAGGCGGATTCTACTTAAGCAATTAGTGAGATATATTTATTATTTCGTGTGTTAATCACGTCAACCGCGCGCGTCAATCGCTACGGAATTTAATCCCGTTATTGTAGTGCGCGTTTTTCATGGGGATGGCGGTGATGGCAAATCCAGCTCTGGCCTATCGATATCGGCTAGCGGGGTTTTTCTCCAACCTGACACATCTACCAACTGGGCACCGCGCCAGCCGGGACAAACTCTAAGCTTCCGGTAGAGTATGAACGTATGTCTGTAAAGAAGGGGTGAGGTTATGACAGTATGGCGTTGGAATGATCGCGCGCGATCCGTGACCCATTTAATTGGATACTACTCCGGCATTCTCCTGGCGTTGGTCGTAGAATCCACCATTCCGCGCAGTCGACCGCTAGAATTCTCATCTGGGGGCGGCTGAACTCGACCTAGCTATCTAACCAGGTTCTGCCACTGTCTGGACGTGAAGCTAGGACAGCCCGATCAGAGGCATTGCAATGACATTATTTGATGCCCTGAGCCGCTTTGCTGTTACACTAGCATCAGCAATCGCTCTTGCACCTTTATACAGGACGGGGACACCGCATGCACGCCCCCAGGGAATTGCACGCTTCAGAAGTGCGTAGACAAAGGTGGCAGGGGTATAGAACGTTATTAATTTGGGAAAAGCTACAGGAGCTCAAATGTAATTACCCTATCGGGCTCAACAAAATCGCCTATCAATTATCAAAATAATCCAAAACACTTACTAATTACAAAGTACTTGTGTATTAGAAGTACATTATTATTGTGTAAAAAGAAAAAAAATGGAGGAAAGATGTAATACAAAGACGACCGTCAGGGAAGGACAGTCCTGAAGAGATAAGACTGCGCTCCCTGCTCCCGTGAAAGAGGAATGGAAGGTACGGACTACTTCTGCACTCACGTACGTGCGATTCTGGGATAGGGATAGATTCTGGGATATATTCTCGAAGGCCTAATTATCGGCTCACGCTGTTGGATTCCTAGAAGGCAGGGTGTATACAGACGTCTAACAAATACCAGAGGAACTCGTAAATTAAAGTTCTTGATGAGATGTGACAATCAGTGGTAAAAATCATACATAGCCCAAAATTTCACCTGCTGACCTCTTCAGGATCTCCTTAAAATCGCTTCTTAGTCCACAAATGGACCGCGGATAAAAAATTTTACCGATATGTTACCTTTATGCCTGTTTTTGTTGTTTCAGCGTTCATTAAACAGTGTCTTTAGTTTCTTCTAAATAGTTTTTCCCCGTTGGTACGTGAAGTAAGGTTATTTAAAATTAAAATGACATTGAAAAAGGGTGTCGTTTAACCTTTATCATCTAAACGTCTATTTGACTTTTTTAATCCTCACTCGCCTGCGAAGAACTGCACACGTTACAAAAAAGAGCTCTGGAGAGTCAGATGTTGTTCAATGCACTCGTGAGATACATTTAACAAGAGAGTGCTGTCGGAAAAGGCCCTGAGTTCGTTGGAAACAAATCCACTGTACACAGCTAAGTGACAGTTCTCGGGTTAGAGAAACGTCCAATGCTTCTAGTGGTCTCTGCATTTGGAGATGCATTTCAGAAGATATACGTATATTTTTGTGCTGTCGTATTTTAAAGAACATATGGTGATAAAATCAGCAGGTGCGTTCTGAGCTGACGTTGCAAACATTTTTACTTTCTTAAAAGTAAGTTACTTCGTACCAAAACATATCTGAGTTGACATTCATTCATTCATCTTGCATATTATCAGTGTAATGTGCGTAATGTTTTTCTAAAACTCGTTAGATGGAGTGAAGTTTCAAAAGTTCAAAATCAGTAAATGCGTTTTAATGATAAAACAAGACAAAACAAATTAATCATATAATATCAAGGAGAAAATCGACCTCGGAGAACAAGTAGTTTTCCAAAATAGTATTTATACATTCCAAATTAAGACATGTTTACCTATTACAAAAAGTATCTTCCTCGAAATATGAACTTTGAAATACCAAACCTGACCTTGAGGTTACCTTAAAAATCTGCCCCAGATGCGACAATGAAAGAGAGCTTTTGGCATTCAAATAAAATTCCATTCTACATTTATCAAAGATCAAGATAACATAATCAACTTCTGTAAAGGTACCAATATTTTTACTGACAATTAACGGTTTTATTAAATGTAAAGTGATCCTATTCAAAATAATGATTTTATATTGGATAAAGTATGTTGTGAAGAAAATGCAGTTATTGTGTATTACCGTTTATGTAAAATGTCATGACTTCTAATCAAACAATAATGTAATAGAATATCTGTAATAATCGCAAATAGCTAGTGCCACTATAAATAATTTTTACTCTACTACCGCATACTACCGAGCCGTGTACTTGTGTACTCGTATTTACGCAGTATGGAGAAAGTAATGTAATGATGCAGGAGAAAACGGCGATTATTTTTTTACAGAAAACCCCGTATTGCCGAGCACAGGTAAAAATCTGATAAATCTTATCACATTGTCTAGGAAAATGATTGAATGACAAAATGTGTTTTCAGAATCCACACTCTCTTTTACGGAGTTCAACAAGAAAACTATTCGTAATCACTAATCATTGTCAATTCCTTGCACTCTTTTTTTCTCGATACTCTTGTCATTACATCCGAAACACCAGCGCTCCTCAAATGTTCTTCGTAACGTATATGTAACCAGATGATTCTTGAGTGTACTCTCGCCTAAATATTGCCTCACTTATCTTTAAAATCATTAAGATCAGTAGAACCGTTAAAAAAGTATTCGATGTGAAACATCGATTTTTCTACATAGATGATTAAAAATATGATTCAAAATCTAGGAAATAATCCATTGTACGATCGTCGTTTCATTCTGAACCCTTTAAACACCTTATAATTGATATCTTGCCCTAAATAAAGTATTGCAACATTACTTGTGTTGATTTATGGATCAGGAAACCAATTAGTACCTCAAAAAGGTACAAGAAGCGGTGTTCAATATTTGTGTGGACGTTACAAATGCTCCTACAAATTATGTGAAGAAATATAGTGCAAACTGCTTATTCGAGTGTAATATATTAGTGGTGTAAGAATATGGAGCATTAATCTTAATGTAAGCAATTCATTTAGTCGCTTTATGAAGAAATACCCTTTAATCTGATGCAGCATGTGAGCCCTTAGTTCAGCTTGATTAACCACCCTTTCTAGAAAATTTATGAATCGGTAAAGACACTTAATTGGAGAGTATTACTGTAGTTCCGTTGTGTGAAAGATATTAGGTGAATATTATGGACATGTCTCAAAAAGGTAAAATAATAACTTCTTTTATTATAACTTCTCAAGCTAGTACAGACCCTGGATACTTTGAATGTGTTGTCAATATTTTATTGATTTCAGCATATAACAAAAACACTACAATAATTTAATTTTAAAAATAATTTTTTAAAAGAGATGTATTGATAATGGGAAACCTTCTAGGGCAATTAAAGTGACTTGCCAATGAATATGCGTTTAGCAGCTTTGCAAATTGAGGGAACGTAACACCAACATTGATTACATGTAACGCGGCACACACACACACAAATACAAACACACACACTCACATACTTTCATTAAAAAATGTTTCTATTACAGTGCAATAGTATTGAAAATGCACAACGCAGATTGGAATTTACTCTAGGTTGTCCAATACATTGAGTGAATTCGAAAATGTTTTAAAACAGAAAACCATACTGAAAAATATTGAATAATGAATGATGATAATATACCGTCAGATCATTACGCCTGTAACACTGATCCACAAAAAAATAGAATAATTTTTTATCCTCTCTCGTTGAAACGCGCGATCCAGCCCCGACCTACAAGGCACCTTGTGCGGGTAGGAGAATTCCCGCTTCAGAAACACATTAGCCGGAATACAGCTGCAAGATCCTCAATTGCTTGGAAGTTTCTGACTTGTAAGGAGTGCGGTACATGTATTTGCAAGTGTTTGTGATTGCCGATAGAAGAGAGTCAAGAAGACGAAGGGAAGATCGCGCGCGGTCCGTGGCCCGTTAGTTAGAGTACTGCTTCGATGATCGCCTGGCGTTGACCGGAGAGACCACGGAACAGTACCGATCGGCGCGACCAGCCGCGAGAGCTCTCCTGCAGCAGCCAGCGGCCGAATTCGCCGCAGCCACGTAGCTCGCGGCAGAGCCCGGAAGGGCGTGGCGCGCCTGGCGGATTCCGTGCACGCGGGGCGGCATGTGGCGGGAAGAGGAGTGGCGGCGTGTGGCAAGCAGGCCGTGGCGGAACTGGCGATGACTGGCGGGGACTGGCGGGGACTTGCGGGGACTGGTAGGAACTGGCGGAGAATGGTGAGTGAGGAATGTCGGGGCGTGGCGGGATGAGGCGTAGCGGCGCGGGGCGGGACCCGTCGCACCCGGGTGGGACGTACCTCGATGGAAAGTAGCGGTTCTTGTCATGGCGCGACGGGCGCGACAGGACATGGCGGGGTCGGCCGTGGTGGAGTGAGCGTGGCGAGGTGGAGCATGGCGAGTGAGGCGTGGCGTGTGGGCATGTCGAGGTGGGGCGTGGCGGGGGTGGCGTGGCGGGGAAAGGTGGGGCATGCGGGGCGGGCGGAGCGTAGCGGGGCGAGGCGGAGCGTGACCTGGCGGGAGGTCGTGTCGTGGGCAGTGGTGGCCGTGGCGGAGGTGGAGAGTGGCGAGCAGGATGGGCGTGTCATAGCGTGGGTTGGTGTGAGCGGGTAGGGCGGGGCGCCTCTCGGCCTGCGGTTGTACGGTATCCCGCTGATCTTCAGAAATCAAATCGACACGTCCAGCACATGAATTTACAGATTTTTGCTGGCCGCGGGGCGCACAGCGGTAGCGTGGGGACGGGGCGTGGGGGCTGGGCGTGAGGGTCGGGGCTGTGGAGTGCGTGGAGTGGGCGGGCAGTGGGGCTGGGCGTGAGGGCGGGGCGTGGGTGCGGAGTGTGGGGGCAGGGTGTGGGCGGGCCGTGGGAGCGGACGCAGGCGCGGATTTACACGCGCGGAGAGCGCATTTCACGTGCGGTCGAAATGGGGTGGTAGCGGTTGAAAAAAGTCGGCGAAATAAACAATGGTAATAGCGGCGGGAATTCGGTGTCGACACCGCCAGAGATAGCTTAGGTAAGCAAACTGTTGCGTCTGTAGCGTCTCTGACCAACAGTCCCTGGAATACCGGTGGCAAACTGAAGAAACTTTCTCGATAGCCATCGAATGCAACCATTGCCTGCTCGGTCACCATTTCTAATCTTTAGTGTAGTGTAAGGTAGAGCACGAGAGATGACACCTCTGTTAGAAAGTCCGATCCGACTTTGAACTACACATCGGCTTGCGGGGTTTTCAATCATACAGGTATCTGCCCGGGGCCCCGCCCAGTCGTGTCATGCTCGAAGCTCGCGACTGATCTTTCTGCACCTGCAAAAGTATTATGCACGTGAGTGGAAGGGTTGCGCAGGGACAAGGATGAGAAAAGGGAGATCGTGCGTGGTCTGTGGACCGTTGGTTGAGGTACTGCTCCGCCTAGAGACCTAGAGATCAGAACAGCAGGGCGCTATTATTCTTCTCCAGACAGCGGTTGAATTTGACTTCGCTATGTGGACACTGTTCGGAGTGGAACCATAAGGCCCTCCAGTGATAGTGCAGTGGCATTAGATGTTTACATGAGCCATCCCAGACGTCGAGTGATTTATATCGGGGTTTGCAAAGGCGATTGTGAAGTGCGATTGTGATTGCCAGTGTGGTTGTGAAGGGAATTCTAGGGGAGGAGTGAGTAAGGATGGAACAGGGTAATGGGATGCAAATGTGAGATGTGTAGAAATGTAAATGTAGACAGAAAAGGAAGTCGAGGAGAGCAGTGAAAAGAAGAATCACAAATTCTAAGTTAATAAATGGGAATTAATTGTAATAAATCTTTTTTGAGATATCCTTATACATTAGTATATTTCAATCCTCATAAGAAAAGTTTGAGATCTTAATCATTGAATAAGAATTTACTACTCAAAATCGAATTTCAAATAATACTTTCTCGTTTTAACTCTCACATATGTAGTAAATATAATACAGTGTTTTGGTAAAACTAGAACTATGCAAATATGGCATTTTTATTTTCTCTCTTTACTTCATAAGAAAAGAAAGGATTGTAATCGTTCATGTAAAATCTCTATTTTCAATAAAACACTTTTTTAATGTTAATTTTTTTAATTCTCTAAAATACAGAGACATTGCCTTAAATGGGAAGGGCACAGTCTTTCCAAAATATATATTTTTTAAATTGAGTCGTTTTACGAAAATAATTATTTTAAAATTGCCTACATTGCACACAAAAACTACTCACATATTTGAAAAATTGTATATTTCCACAATTTTCTCGTCATATGTATCGAATCGTGGTAAAACAATTTGTATTGATGCCATTGTCAGCAAACGTTTAGTATTTTCGAAAATTGCAAAAATATTAATACCGCAAAAGTACTCCATTGAATATGAACATTTTGTCATAAATAAAATCTGTCAAAGAAATATTTAAAAACATCATGTAAAAGTTTTAGAAAAAACAATTTCGCAAAATTTCTTCTTGAACATAATGCAATTTGTTAAGAGAAAAAAAATTCTCAAAAAAGCTCCAAATTTGTTCTTTAAATTTATTCCGCCAATAAAGCAAGCGATGGCTAAAAATGCTGCAGATCTCATTTTCGTTTCATTTTAAAAACTTTTGGAAAAATCAAAAGTTATAAATATTGCAAGAAAGTGTGTGCACTGTTAACACCTCTAGTGTTAAGATCAAAAATCTATAAGAAGAGAATAATTTGAAATGACCTACAATACCATACCAAATACACTCATTAAATTGCAATGGTTTTTTACCTTTATAAATAGACTGTAATTTTTATAAGAAATTATTTGTAATTATCTTTAAATTATTATAAAAATTACAGTCTGTTAATGAAAGTCAAATACGATAAATAATGTAAGAGGCAGTAAAATATTAATTATAAACTCATTAAATTTCATTGAATAAAAGAGCGAAATCATAATAAATATAATTCTGATTGCTGTCAAATGCTTTCTTCCACCTCATCCCAATCCTAGGTGTCTGTTTTTTTCAGAGTCACCTCCATTCTGGCCCTTCGCCGCGAGTTGCCTGTTGCTTCCAGCGAGGCGAGGACGGTCCAGCTGCGGTGTGGGAGAGCAAAGGGAAAGGCAGGAGGATATCGACGTTCGTGAGGGGACTCGCGAATTAATTGGAGAAAATTTTATTGAGCTCTCTTTGCATCCCGAGGAGAGAACGGCTGGCCCGAGCACCTGTGACTGCCCACCTGCGACTCACAAAAACATTTCGTCAGAACCCGGTTGACAAACTCCACCAATTCACGAGACGTCAATTCGCGAGGCAAAGATACGCACGGGGCAATTTGTGTTGGATACTTCATTGCTGCAGAATGCTGATGAAGATGTCAATGGAGGAAGATGGAAGATGGACGTATGAGGGTCATTACTAAACAATGAACGGATACGGAAGTGACATGAGCTATCAGAAAATGGGGCGGAATATTCTTTTTACTTTCTTGCATGCTACTTACGTAGTGTAGAGAAAGTTTCATAATGCTTTGACAAATAACGGCGACTTTTTTCGACAGTAAAACTAGCATTGTGATGCCGAAAAGTGGGCAAATCTTGTAAAAAGATGTAGTTGTAAATTACTTCGTCCACAATGTTATGTAGTCAGAATCAACATTTTGATCAGGGAAATGTCGAAGACCGTTGAATTTAAAATGGATATTCAAATTTTCGAAGGACACTTCTCATGAAGTCTCAACAAGATATTTAAACATTTCTCAACAATTGATCCATTTGTAAAAAAAATCATTTCTCGGATAGAACAAAAAAAGGGGGGAAATTGCACATGTCTCTTCTTGGTTGAATTCTTGGAATTTTCGAAAATTCCAAAAGTTTTTATGCAACTACAATATACAAGGTAGATATTTTTCTCGAGATGAAATTTGTTTTCCATAATTAGTTCTTAGTTTAATGTCGTTTATATTATATGGAAAATAATAGTACTTTCGCACAATTTTGACTAAAGTATCAACATTTATAAAATAAGACTTTCTCAAGAAAGACTGTAAACTTTTTCTTTACATAAAAACATAACATTACATAAATGCTACTTTTAAGTATATTTTTTGAATATTAGTAATACCCTTGTAACTGAAAAAGGGCTCAAATTTGCGCATTTTCAGCAACGCTCAAACGACATTTTCTCAAGTAAAAATCTTGAAACTATCCCAGTCTAAAGACATTATGAAACGAGAAAGTATGTACCATTACATAGCACCATTAGTTACAATCCCTTGGGACATTTTCAAAATTTTCTCAAAAGTCTTCATTTATCTATCAAACTTTGTTCTTGGATAGGTAAAGAGCAATTAATTAAATATGTTGGTCACTGGCAGGCCTTGAAATAAAGTTATGTACTTTTTGTAATGAGTAACGTATACGATATTTGTTCGTGAAGTTGTTTCAGTTCATAATGTAAGCAAATTCTGAAAAACGTCTCCATATTTTTCTTCGTTTGTAACAAAGAACGTTGAAGAAATTACTGCTGGGCCCATTTTTGGAAAACACTCTGCATTTTCGAAAATTGCATGAGTATAATATTGAACATAAAGATTATTTCTTTAATAAAATATGTTCTAAAACTCCCTTTTTAAAAAAGTAATGACAATGTTTTAAACAATTTGAGCATTAATTTTACACATTTTTAAACTGGAAAATTCCAATTTCCCACGCTTATAGAATCTTTCATCAGTTATCACGTTGGGGTTAAACAATGGGAACACCGCAATACGGCAGTTCGAAATTCTCAGAATAACTTCTCATTGTTGTTCGGTGTTTCTGGATGTGTATAAGTTAGTTTTGGAGTTACTTAATTGTGTTGATGTATTTACTTTTAAATTAATTAACTTTTCGTACCTAGTGCGCAACAATTGGTAATGAGTTTACCAAGTGACGCCTCAGATGTATTAATACGGGCAGAAATTACGGGATTTTACGTTACCGCTACAGACCACTACTCCCGCTACTATTACTTACCACTACTACCGCCAGAACGCCCTTATAGAAGCACTATATTTAAACAACCACTATATTTCTTCAACCTTCACTCCTGTAAGAAATTTGTTGACAAACACAAAGATAATAGCATAACTTAATATCACTGCAGGAAGCAATCGAGCACCTCCTCATAAATTAATGACGTATGAAATATTTGTGTGATATATTAATATTAAGTTGTGTGATATATTTCTATTTAAATATTAAACAGAATGTTCATGAAGGGGGCTCATTCTTTATTTAAGATGGATACAAAAATTAGTGAGAAAAATTATCAAATAATTCTGCGGCTTGTTTAAAGAGAAATTCAAATAATTCACAATATTTACACTGCTATATTAAAAATTGCAATTAAATGCAATAAATTCATGAATTAAATTAATAATAAAAGCAATGCACCCAGAAACAAGCATTAAATCTATTTTACTTAGACAATTAGAGTATTCTCTTATCTTTATTGTAGGTGTTGTATGTCATTATTGTGATATTATGAATTACTTCATTTGTTACTGAATCATAATTTTATGATTCATTAACAACATGAAGTTAAAATAAATGATTCATAATTTTGGGAGCATGGTGGATTAGTAAGAGGCTGTGATACTTGTTATTTTTGTCATTCCGCTAATAGGAGAATGTTCACATTAACACACATGTTTATTTAGCTAGAATGCATCCAAAGTACATTTCAAACCTTTGAATTAAATATGATGTACATTCATTATTCTTTGATTACGAGTCGGTACATTGAACATTTAGTTGAAAACGTGTTGAAAGTTTGTTCTCAGCGCTGCAATTGTGTTGTCCGTTCGATCTGCAGATCACGGCCTCACTTTCAATTTCTGTATGGAAGAATAATATTAATATTCTCGCATGTTTTTTGAAATGATTTGCATCAATTCTTACCATATTACTTTTAACGACGATATCAAAACAATGTAAATCTCTCGTGAAAACTATTCATAACCTCCAACGGCACTCTCTGAAATGACAATTCTGACGCCTTATCAACATCTGACTGGCGAATGTATACAAATTTTGCGATCGATGCGATCTCAGCGATACTCAACGGGTTTAGAGCTTGTCAGAGCAATTGCCCACTGGGCTGAACGGCGGGTGGGCGGTTGGGCGGGCGTTCGTGCGGGTGTTCGGGCGGGCGTTCGGGCGGGCGCGTTTCGGGGCGGCGTTCGGGCCGGCCTGTAGCTCTTGGCGCGCGTTCGGGTTGCTCTGGCGTGGCGCGGGCGGGAAGTGGTGGGGCGGGCGGGGCGGAGCGGAGCGGGGAGGGCGGGGAGGGCGGAGGGAGTGGACGGGGAAGAGCGGGACGGAACAGGAACGTTGTGCGGGGCGGGGCGTGGCGGGGCGGAGCGGGCATAACTGGCTTCGCGGCCGGTAGGCGCCCCGACGTGTGGTCTTGCTTATGCGGAAGTGCGCGTGATGGGTCGAGGCGGCATCGATAAGTGCACCAGCCCCCCTCTCCCCCCCCCTCCCAGTCCCGCGCCGCGCCACCCGAAGGCCCTGCTCACTAGGGGCACGAGAGCGAAGTGGTTTTAATTGGGCTTCACGCAGGGGAAATGTGATAACGAGACAGAACATGACGCTACGGCGTTCCCCATTACGAAAATGTGAAATTAGCCCCAATGAACAAGGAAACTAGATCTCCAACACCGCGTCCCGTGTTTTTGGTGAAACGAATACATATGCTTGCTTGATTAACATTTTTCTTTTGGACACACGATACCCAATTATTTTGTAGAAATTGATTTTGTTCAATTATCTCGGATTTGAAGAAACGAACTACACCGCTGATTAAATAAATCAACAAGTTACGTTTTTTTGCATTTTTTGGCTATTTGGAGACTGATGGATTGATTCATTGTTACAGATCATTTGTCAACTGTTGTGGTCATTAGTCCTGTAAGTGTAGTGATGTTCCGGTATATGGCGGTGTTCCTCTCCAACTTTACATTTAGATCCGCAGGCTTCGAAGGTCGGCTTGCGAAACGAATCTTGCCCCGCGTGGCGAAGGTACAAAGAGCAGGAAGAAACGATGCTGCTCCGGAATGCGCGTGACGTTGACCGGAGAAGTCATGAAAATTACCGATCATAGCGGCGGCCTGTTAGTCTTCGCTAGTCGGGGACTGAATTTGATTCAACTATTTACCTCCACCTGAGATTAACACAAGCACACAAAATAAAAAGAAACTTGTCAGACCAAAAGACTTGGCACACGTTTCTCCATGTTAAGTCGACGCGCTGAATCCGGTAGACAGAATTGCGCCACCACCTGACAGTTTTTAAAACGTGAAAAACCTCTGTGAAATTTACACTTTACAATTTCACGGTGTTTTTTTGGGATTTGATGGCGGTGATGGTGTAACGGTTAGCGTATTGGACTGGTATACCCAAGTTGGCGGGTTTTAAGGGCGGAAGAATCCTTCCTTCGGAGGGGAAGTAAAGCCGGCTGTCCCATGTTAGTAGATTTACTTGCATGTAAAAGCCTAAATGACGCCTCGGAGCTAAATTCAAAATCGCCAATTTCTCGCCCAAGAAATACCTCCTTCCTCTGGTAGTTGGTGAAAGGAGTGTAGCGAAATTTGCGTGGCAGACGGAAGAGTGGGCCTCATGGCCCGAATCTCGCCACGTAAAATAAGGCTTCAATTCAGTTTGAAAAAACTTCACATTCGGATTCAACACGTCGACATTCATATAGAAAATGTGTCAAGTCATTAAGTCTGAAAACGACTCGTGAAAACAAAAAAATCATGGGGCGCACTTACACAAATGATTAGAAAGATTTAAAAAATGGTGACTTGTTACTGCATTCCATAGTCAAAGTATTAATGGATGCTAGAACAATGAATATAAATGTATAACCTGAATGTGAAACCTGATAAATTAATATTAATGTATATACCCTAAAATAAGTGCACACAACTGTTGCCGTCAGTTTCAAAAAATATTTAAATCCAAAATATTTAAATCACGAGTTGTATTCTATCGGACCGTAAGTAAACATTTACCCCTTTCACAGCTAGTCCTGTTCTCCCCTACATCTCATTCCTATATGTAGTAACGTGTTCCTCTAACACGTTGTGTTGTCAGAATGTACGTTCTTGATACCGAAAAATCGTCTGACGGCAAAACGTCTGTCCGTACGTGTGTCTGCTTGTGAACAAAACTAGCGACCAAACCGAAAGTAGGATCCTTCCAACATTGATATTCCTGGATTATTCTGATTGATGTCACGGTTGTTTGCATTTGAAACTTACATTTTGACTTTTATTACTACTTAGTAACCGCACGCCAATGCGACTATATAACACCGCAGAAATTTGAATTCGCGCCGCCAACCACTGGCTTAGCTTCTGCGAAAGTCGGATAGAGGGCACTTCGCACGCTACCAATGCTGAATCTCTACGCCTCAGTGAATTTACACAATCACCAATTTTCGAGTTGTGATAATAGAAATTCGGTGGA